GGGACCCTAATTTAGAAAACTACTCATATACTATTTGGGCACATGGACCCTTAGGGACCCCGAGCCCCCCTGAAACCAGAACTCAAAGATCCCGAAATGTCCGAAATTCAAGGGTCCACCCAAGAAGAAGGTACGTGGATTTGGGATAGTAGTTGTATGCAGGCTTATAAGTTGGGGGAGTATATGATTAAATTATTAGGTACTTGGAATCTCTAGGCAATTGCTGGCGCTGAGGTCGGAGGCATCTGTTGTGGGTCGTTGGGGATCTACGTCAACCCTATAAGCGCTGAGCACTGAAACACCCAAGGACCCCAAAGCCTAAACCCTCGACTCTCAGGCCCTGCTAAACCCCCAAGGGTCCAAAGAACCCAATAATTAGGTACTCGGCTTTAGGATAGTAGTTATGTAGGTTAGGATTTTGGAGATTATATGATTATTAGGTACTTGGACCCTTGGGGAACCATAAACCCAATCCTTGGGGCATTGCCTGGAGCCTCGAGCCGCTGAGTATGTAATAATGTACTTTCAGGAGCTGAATGTGCGCAGAAGTATCCCTTAACTGGTCTATGGTCTATGGTACACCAAAATCCTATCCGAGTGTTAAGCCACCCACAGTAGGGTTGAATGAAGAAGAGTGGAGTGCGTACAACCCTACTGACGGCATCTGTGAGGGTTTCGGGTTCCGTGCAGTTGTTTTGGATTTAATTTAGCGTTTAGGGCCAGTTTCCCTTCAATCCATCAGGCACAGCAGAGCAGCTGGCCCATTATCAGCCCATCCGTCCGTGCAAGAACCGAACCCTAAACTCTAAACCCTAAACCCTGACAGCCGTAACTTTAAACCCTAAACCCTGAAAGCCGTAACCCTAAACCCTCCACCCCAACAGGCCAAAGGTGTGCTCGGTGGTGGCTTCGTTCCACCCGGTGAGACGCCTACGCAGGTGCCTAGTTGCTGAGGGTTCGGGGCAGCTCCGGTCGAATACTAGCCACGTGATGGGTAGCCCGTTACCCCATTACTGAGTTAAGCAACTGGAGCCATAGGGGTATAGAGTTTGGAGCTCTAGGGCTGTATGGGTATAGAGTTCGAGTTTCGGTGCTGGGTTTAGTGTTTAGGCAGGAGGCAGGCGAAGGGATGTGAGTTTAACGCTAAAGTCGAAAAGCCTTGAAACTCTGAAGTCCTCAAGCCGATCTCGCAAGGCCGTCAAGACTGGGTGGGTGGCTGCGCTTGGCGTGTCCCTAACGGTCCAAGTACCTCTCTCTCAGGGGACATGGTATTTATGTACGCACTTGAAGGCCAAAGCATATGGGTAGTTCTCTGAATTAGGGCTGCCTTCACTGCGATAGGTGCATGTGTGTGGAGTCCTGACCCCACAAGGCCCTCTTGTGTCCCAACCACAGGAGCTTTCACAAAGCCCCATGCAAGGGTCCAAAGTACCTGTATAATAGAATGTAGGGTTTCTATATTAAGAATTAGTATTATGATTTGGGGAAGTATTCCCCATAACAATACCTAGGACCCTTTGGGATGTTCTCAACCTGAAACTTCAAGCCCGTAAAGGATCACTACACCCTATGCGCGAGGCCTTTGACCCCCTAACCCCGAAAGGAGCTGACGGTGGAGCTGAGAGCCTACCTGCAGCAGATCTAGCCCCGATGATGGAGCTGTGCGCTTGGGAGTTAAATCCACGGTTTATGGTTTAGGGGTTGAGGGTTTAGGGTCTGTCTTGAAGGGTTTAGTGCTGAAGCTGGTTCTTGCAGGGTTTGGGCTTAACGGTACAGTAGCTGCGATGCTCGGTGCAGAACCTGAGAATAGTAACTTTGTCGCTGTGACAGAACCTTAACTGCGTGCAGCTCTGCGCCTCGTCTTCTTCTGTTGTGCTGGGCTGATCGGTTTGCATGTCAGAGTTCAGGGCTTAGGCTTAAATCTCTTGGAGTTCATGGCGATGTGCCTGGCTTGAGGCAGGCTGCAGCCACTAACTTGCATGAAGCGGATAGTAAAGAAGGTAGCGTCGTCACAAAGTCGAACAGCACAGTAGCATTGTCGAGCCGAGTTTCACCCTGCACATGTAGTGGCGGTGTTTCACCCTATACAATCCGACAAGAGAAGAACGTATTGCATTTTCTGTTTGAGTTGAACGGTTTGGTAGTCTCCGGGTCGATTACTACTTAACGGATCATGGGACTTAGGTACTTCTAACCTTAATTACTAAGTCCCATGACCCTCCAAGTACTGTAGTCAGCACGGCCGCTAGTCTCAGTGTAGTGTACCACGTCCTGAATAGTTGACAGAGCAAGAAGATGCACGCAGATTTGCCACCCTGAAGATGGGTGTGACACCTGCAATAGCAGGCAAGCTTCTGGCGAAAACTGCCCGGTTGCTTGTGGGGTTCATAGAGCTGACGATTTTCTGCGGTTCAGGCATGCTCAGAACTTCCACACACGTACATTGCAGTGTAGCGGCGATGCTGATCCTTATCACCATAGTACTGACTCAGTGACTTTGGTAAAGTCTTAAAATTCATGTTCTTGCAGTAAGAGTAAGCCTCCTTGTCGTACCACCTGTGCTGATAGCAGCGATTTTGGCAAGTGGAAGGTTGGCGACAAGAGCCTCACAGTAAGTGGGTAGTTCTCTGAGTTAGGGTCCCTTTTACAGTCCTGTTTCTTGGGGTGCCGTACTATTTGGGGGATGTGAACAGGGACCCTAGTCAGAGTAATACCCAAGTGGAGGGCGACGACATTCGGCCCAAGCAGATTGCTGATACTGTAACATAGGGGCCTTCATAATTACCAATACTATTTTGGGGGGTTCCCTATTGTTAAATATGGTATATGGTATAATGGGCCCCAAAAACCCTATTCTAATTATTCAGGCCCCTATAGTAACTGCAAGAGTCAGAGACCAAAGCCTGCTGACGGACTCGAGTTCCAATTCCGGCGAGTGTGCAGCATCATCATGACGATCATGGTTGTTATGTTTTTACTATTAAGTTATCAAACTCTTATTATGATTATTAGTTAGTTATTGCTAACCATCAGATGATCTTAGCACCAAGCAACACCCTTATCATCGTCGTTGTTGGTTGCCGCTTTAGCTGCGGACCTGCAGCGGTTTAGCTGTGGGATTCGTCAAGTGCTGGCGTGAAGGAGTTGGAGGACTTAGGATCGGGAATGAGATGCCTTTGAATGTGGCAGCAAGTGTGCAGTGCTGTTGAGAGCCCCGGAGTCCACACCCCAAACCCCCCACACCCTAAACCCCGAAACCCTAAACTCTAAACCCCTAACCCGAAACCCTAATCGCGGCCGGCCATTCGAGACCCAAGCCGGAGCCGCAGACGTTGGCCCGGCTTTGCGGCGGCAGGGGAGGCCCTGCGGTGGCGAGCGCAAGATCAGGCCGTGAGTTTCTGTCGGACCGTTTTCGGAGCCGTCCTCATCAAGCGCCCCCATGTCGACAATCCATTCTTCAATCTTTTTTCATGAGCAGGATAATTACACTTTCAGAGTTACAATTGCTGCTGCTGCTGCTCCTACTGCAACCGCCACCACTGCGTACTGCTACCGCTACTGCTCTTTCCCTGTAATTCTTACTACTACTACTACTACTACTACTACTACTACTACTACTACTACTACTACTCCTGCTGCTGCTGCTGCTACTACTACTACTACTACTACTACGACTACGACTACGACTACGACTACTACTACTACTACTACTACTACTACTCCTACTACTCCTACTACTACTACTACTACTACTACTACTACTACTACTACTACTACTAGTACTAGTACTAGTACTACTGCTACTGCAACTGCTGGCAGACAAGAGATACCACGGCCGTCAGCGCTGGCGATCTCTTGTTCTTAGGGTTTCTCTCGTGGGATGTCCGGGAGTCGGCGGGCTTTGGGTTTAGTGGTTGTTTTTTAGGGCCAAACTTGGAGGTTCATGGGTAGGTATAAGCATGGTTGCAAGTAGGATAATTATGGTTATAACCTATATTGGGGGATTTATAACCCCACTTAGAACTACCCATGAACCTCCAAGAAGGGTTGGTTGAAGCTCTTGCCTTTTTCGGATCTAGGGTCGGGTAGGGCAGAGCGCTGCAGTCTTGACAGATCGCCGGATCTATAGTTTTATGAATTGTGGTCCAGTTTGGGATCCAACAAGAGTGTCATAGCAACCATGGTTTTGTGCTGATGTCCAAAGGAGGACCCTGAGAATCGGGTTGAGAGTTACACATAATTACATAGTCATAACTGTTCCACATCCGGAAAACCGAAGTGCTGCTGCCGTTTCATTTGCCCTAGATAAGCACTACTGTTTCAACAGCAGCTTCCTGGCGGGCCTTGTGCGGTGCATCTGAACTTGACGAACATAACAAAATACCGGGGTCGGTAAGACCTGTACAGTAAAAGCCAGAAAGTTGGAAAATGATTATCCTAAACCCTGTATGGTAAATTATAAGGTATCCTACCCTGAAACCATATTCCAACTTTCTGGAGTTCCCTCTACTACTGTCTCCTCGTAGTCTACATCAACAAATCCGATATTCAAACTGTCCAGGCCGCCACAGCACGCGGACTTGGCTTACAGCCCCGAAGCCCGAAGACGGGGAACTACGGTAGATGATATAAACCCTGCATGACCCTAAGGACCCTAAACTATGGGAATTATGGTATATTCCTTATAAAGGGTAATGCAGGATTTGGTCCATCAACAGTAGGAAGCAGCAGAAGACAGAGCACCAGCGTTCGCAACAATGAAGTTTTTGCCTTAATTGGCTGCATTCGCGATGTGACTGCCTCATCTCCATTTCGAAGCTACATATAGGATCTCTTACACAACCGGAAGGTTGCTTTATCTGGGATTTCAGCCTAAACTAAACCCGAAACCCCAAACCTAAACCCCAAGCGCTAAACCATGTAGCCCATAGCCTAAACCCTACGCCCCACACCCGAAGCCCTAAACTATGGGGACCCTACAGGTGTAGACCTTAGCCACCATGCTCGCCAACCAGAAGTTGCTCATCGACACCATGCAGGCTGCAGGGGGATGTAACCCAAAGCCCGCAAAACCCCTTAATTAAGGAATATACCTTAAAGTATGATAGGATCCCCAATATGATTTAAGGTATAGTCCTTAATTAAGGGGTGTTGGCGGCTCTGGGAAGCTTTAGGGTGCAGAGCTTAGGGTTTAGGATGGCTTCGGGTTTCTTTCGGTTTGGGCTTCAGGATTTAGGGTATCCGGTTTAGGATCGACGGTTAAGGACAGGGGATTTCGGGCCTAGTGTCTAGGCTACAGAGGACCGCTCTGGTGGAGAAGCTTGTTGTTTCCCTCTCAGAAACGCAAAGGAACTGGCACTGGTGGTCGACTAGTAGCAGTAGCTGAAGGTGGCATATCGAAACCCTGGACCCTAAACGTGTAAGAATACTCTGGGCCCTAAATGTACCGTGATGCAGGCCTGCCACAAGAACACGGAGATGGTGCTGGGACTTGTGAACAAGGCCCGACTTTCCTAAGACTTTCCTACTTAACTCCTAAACCCTCGCAGACACCTTCTATGGAACCCTTACAGGAGACTTTCAAAGCATTTCATAAACAAAGCCCTGAGCAACCCTGAACTCTAACCCGAACAAGCTTACGGCAAACTCTGATGCTAGCTGGCCGGCGTTTGATGTAGTGACTCTGAAGATACACTTTAGGGTTTGAGGTTTTGCCGAACCCTTGAGACGATCTAGAACGTGGATTCCTCAGGTGGCACGGTGTCAGAGTGGGGCGGGGTTCTTCTTATCTTTTCGGATGGTGGGTTCAAGATTAGGGATCAGATTGCTGCATTCCAAACTTCATATACTTGCAAACTCACCTCGAAACTTAAGTCAAAGAGCACGTGTGCCCCAGCATTTTTAGCTGAGAGCAAACTCTACCTAAATCCGATCGTAGAGAAGCCCGGAGCCGTATCTGAAAAGCACGCAAAGACCTTCCCCCAAGCTTCAGAATCTGGACGAGCCTAATATAGGGGCCTTCATAACTGCCTCGACTCTACTATTTTGGGGGGGTTCCCTATTATAATTGTAGTATTATACTGGGCCCCCATATTACCCTAAGCCCTAAACCCTTAAACCCTAAACCCCTAAACCTTAAATTAGGCCAAAACTCTGGCCCTCTTCAACCCTCAACTTACCCTTGGTTAGTAGGGAATGGAAGAATGGTAGTAATATCACTCATAATTGTACCCCATTCCTCCATTCCCTACTAACCAAAGGTAAGTCAAGGCCTGTGGCACTCACTTGGAGGATCATGGGGCTTAGTCAGTGAGGTTATAAGTACCTTGATCAGGGTTATAAGTATAGTGACCCTACTTACAACCCTGCAAGGCATGTGGCAAGATAAGCTTAACCCTAAACCCTAAACCCTAATTATAACCCTAGTTACCTTTAAGAGGCATGTGGCAAGATGAGCCTGCCGGACATGGTGGACGAGTGCGAGCTGTTTCGCCATCTCCTCAAGGAGACTCGGAGCCAGGGTTTAAAGTAAAAGTCAGAAAGTTGGAATATCATTATCGTAACCCCTTTAAGGTAAATTATAGGGGATCCTACCATTAATCCATATTCCAACTTTCTGGAGTTCCCTTTAGGGGATGTAGGGTTTAGCTAAGGCTTAGGATTTAATGTTCAAGTCCTGAAGAGCCAGTTGCTTACGATTTTCAGACTTCTCCCCACAGTTGAGGGGTCGTAACCTACCATTTTGCAGGGCTTGGTGTGAACTGATATGCGTTCAGGCTTCCAGATTCATTAGGCCATGCAGAGGTAGCTTTGAAAGAGGCCTTGCAGCTCCTACTGACATGAGTATGTAGGGTATTTTGGGCTGTGGTCAAGGCTTAGGGTTTGGTGTTTCGGCTTCCCCGGTTTTGCTGCTGCCCACAATCGCAGCAGCAGCGAGAGGAGTACTATGAGAATTGCAGGGGGAGGAGAAGGAGCATGCCTTAAGCCCCAAAGACGAGCCGCTAGGACACGGATTCTATGTTTGTGACCTTGCGGGATGCATCGACTGCAGACGTCGAACAGGCCAGAATGGTATGTATGGGACCTGGCTTGGGGGGTAGGACATGTTACAACTTTGGGAGGTTCGCGGTTGGGTACAAGTCGGACCGTTTGCGAGTGAGGCATTGGGTCGCTGGAGTTAGCAGATCATGGGATGTCATATGCCCTTGACTGTCGCTTCCCTTTCTCCCCGCAAGGACTTCTGTACAACAATAACTCTCGCCACGCCGGCGTTTGTCCTGAGCCGTGACAGCACTACCCACAGAACAACATTGTACGGTGAGTTCACCCTGAACCTCCAAGACTTGTTTTCCGAAATTTTCAAGACAGGCTCATCTAATAGACTCCCAAATGTATACACCAAACGCCCCAGAATCCGAGTTTCTGCGTAGATCGAAAGCATGGGGTCCATGTACCTGTGCACTAACTATCTACTTGACCTTAACGTTGGTCCTACAGCGCCAAACGTACATAATTACTATGTAGAATTGAAAACTGGCCCTTCATCAGGCGAGCTTACTTTGGGAGTTCGCAGCCTCCATGTCATTCGCCATCCACGATTTCGGGACTGTGCTGAACCATCAACCCTAATTCGAGAGCTCTTCTCGGAGTGTATACTGTACGCACTACGTAGGGTACCCCACTGACAGAATGACATTTCGTGCGAGAGAGGCAGAACTTGGTAAGGAGTATCTATTTGCCGGGGGGGGAGGGCGCTGTCAGAAAGTTAGAGATTATTCCTTTGAGGCATGGAGTCCACAACGGTTCGGGGCATTTGGGGCTTGAGGGTGTTGGGGCTACTGGGTTTAGACCTAAACCCAAAACTAAACCCTAAACCCTAAAAAGCCCTAAACTTTAGGGCTTTAGTTAGGGTTGTTGCCCGGATCTGCCCTGCTGCTCAACTGCTCAAAGACACACGCGCACACATAGACACACTTGGGTAGTTCTCTAAACGCTTCGTACGGCGCTTGCATAAAACGGACCCTAGAAAGGGACCCTAGTTTAGAGGACTGCCCACCTAACCACACACATGCAGAGAAAATCCCAGATTCAGATCTACCGTGCATGAGCACTTAAGACTTAATATAGGCCTTGCGGCTTTCGGATTGGACGCGCATCTCCGATTCCCAAGAAGTCTGCAGGACTGCATGTGTACATGCAAGCATACATGGGATAATGCCCATTGATGTGAGAGAATGTGTTTGTGTCTGCATGCGTGTGCATGTATGTGAAGCCTGCACGTATTGCCTCTTACAGGCATATAACTTACATTACATGTGATTCGCTGTGATACCCTAAACCCTAAACCCTAAACCCAAGCAGCAGACAGGTATGTGGAACCGTTCAAGCCTCGCCTGAGACTCCACCCAAACGGCATCAAGACAGTAGTAAAAAAAAGGGATCTACTTTTTGGGATCCTCCCCTAAGCCCTAAACCCTAAACCCTAAAACCCTGTAGATCCCTTAAAGGAACCTGCCTAGGATTTTGGTTTGGGCAGGTCCGGATTGAGGATTTCGTATTCGATACATCTCAAACTCCCTAAACAATGCCAAGTCCCAGACTGCAACCAGGTGCTCTCGGACGTCAAGAAATATGCGTCGGATGTGGTCCAGGTGCGAGTGCTAACATATTTTCAGGATCTCCCGTCGAAGATGACTGTAATTCAGGTGCACCAAGGCCGCCGTCCCCCCAACGTGCTCTTTTTTCGTTTGGTTGTTTGGCCAGGATGTGGGGGCCGGGGCGGGGGGCGTCAGACATGTATGTATGTATCTATGTATGTGACTTATGTGTTGTGTGTGTGTCTATAGATATATATTTATATATATATATATACACATGTATATACACATGTGTGTGTGTGTTTGTGTGTGTGTGTGTGTCTGTGTGTGTGTGTGTTCGTTCGCGCGACTTGTGCATGTAACAGGTAGCGCTCGTTTAGTTCTTTATGTGGGCCGATCGTGGCCGCTACACCTTCGGCCCTAAGCCACCCGTGCGAAGCTTCTACAAACCCTTGCCTTGCGATGCTAGCCCTTTCTAACCCAAGAGCAATACTTACCCTTGAATCCCACATCCTACGCTCCTGATGTCTAAACCCTGTGCACCCTCTACAGCCCTAGAAACCTGAACCCTAAGCCTCAAACCCTATAAACTTTGAACCCTCCCTGGACCCCCCCACCAACATCCATTATACCTCAAATACCGACTATTAAGAACCATAAGGGCTCTCTTAAAGGGCCATTCGGGGGTCCTGGTCAACCCTGAATATAGAGACTTGAAGCTTCGGAGGCAGAGTCCCGGGACCTGCGCACCAACTTGCGAAAGCAATCTGAGGCAGGCATCGGAGAGGATTGGCATACGTTCCCCACTGTAGATTATTTTGGTTGCCTTATAAGATCCTAAATAGAAGGATTGGTAGTTAAACCTTAGGGGTACAGTTTCGGGTTTTGGGCCTGGGGAGTTAGGGGCGTGGGGCTTCACGGGTGTAGGTTTTCGGGTTTTGGCTGTCGGGGTGTGAGAGTTTAGGGGTTAGGATGCGGGTTTAGCTGGGTCTAGTCCCGTCTGTGTGCAGATTTGTGGAAGAACTTGCCAAGGCGAGCGGTGACGGTACTTTTTTGCAAAGAGCGAGAGCCCCACCCCGCTCGATGAGATCGACCTACAGCTTCCCGAAGAAACACCCTGGACGCTAAGCCGTGGAACCAAGACGGCTTTGAAAGACGGGGGCAACCGCTGCCTCAAGGCCGCTTCTTGCCACGGAGAGGATCTGCACCTGTTGCTGCCGACAGTCGGGATGACCGGCACAGCTATTAGCGATGCATGGGGGCAGCTGGAATACGGGCACTGTCACCTGGTCAGCAATGGACGCCTTCTCCTGGGCAAGTTTGCTGTGTGGCAAGACCCGGTGATGTCTACCCCTACAAGAATCTTAGCCAGCCAGACGATGGGTTTACACAAATAATTACAACTTCATTTTATCTTCATCTTTGTCATCATCAAATCATCCTCAGAATCATCTTCAAATCATCCTCTGCCCCAACAATCATCATCTTATTATCATCGGCTCCCAAGCGCCTAAATCACACACGAATAAACGCAACGATTACTTCTACGCATGTTTCCTGGAAGCCTCCTGCATCACCTGCGAACACAAGCCCTACCAAACGTGTCTCTGAGGGTCCGTGTTTGTCAGTGCACGTATACACTGCAAGTTTGTATGTGCATTCAAGAGGTCCACGTCCTATCGCAAGCACTCGGTAACACAGCCGGCAGCTAATGAGAATTCACTACCAAAAGAGCATCACATAACCATCTGGCTCAGACGACCGCTGCAAGCATACCGACCCGATCCATCGCCTCACCTCTTCTCCACTACAGGGTTATGCTACAAGAGCACTGTTCATCCTAGACCCTATAGGCCCTTAGGCCGTAGGCGATACCCATCGAAAAACCGTGATGTGTTTGAACCATGGCAACGGGGCCGAGGGGCCCGAGGATGAATTTTGGATAGTCCGCATGCCAAGAATGATGGCTTCAGGATAATTAAATGATGAAACGATAAAAGGATGATCATTTGAGGATGATTTGGGGATGATTTGAGGATGATTTGAGGATGGTTTGAGAATGATTTGAGGATGGTTTGAGGATGATTTTTTTGATGATTTTCTGATAATTTTCTGATGATTTTTTGTTTGCTGAGTTTTTGAAGATTCCCATGGGCATTCCCACATTTTCCGATTTCCCCACTCCCTGCCCCTGCCTGCCCCGGCCCTCCCCTCCCGGGCGCCCACCCCTGGGCAACGACGGTTTGAAGCCGTGGCTCAGCATCACCGAATCATCCTCCAATCTTGTCTTTTCCAAACTGCCATCCCAAAAACATCCTCTAATCCATCCCCTCCAATCCTGGTTTCCTCGAATCATCCTCTCCAGAACATCCTCGCCAGATCATCTGCGACCTGCGTGCAACAAAAACCGTCGATTCAACACGCCCGCGATCTCAGATGACCTGGTTCCATATCTGTTTCTGTTGTCTGCACGCACGATACGCATCGAAATGTATTCCATAGCACAGTTTAGAGTCTAGAATATAGAGTCTGTGGAATCCAGAGTATAGAGGAAGTGTGGGGATTGGAGTGAACATGGAGCATCTTCCAGCAGGAGGAAAAAGAAGCTTCGAGCACATTCCATCCATTCTAATCTACACGTCACTGGTGTCACCATCAATAGCCACAACATGTTCACAATCGACATCTACAACGTCCTGCAAGTGGAGAGTGGAGAGTTGACTACTCCTGATGATATGATGCTTCGACTTACTGATGGGGATGGTTCGTCGATGATGATTACGGATGAGGATGATTTCCGGATGATGTGTTCAACAAGGATGAACATGATGATGATGTTGGCCACCATGATTTGAGGATGGCCAGAACGTTAATTTTTTGATAAACTAATTAATTTAGCCAATGTGTCCACGCAAGAATCTCATATGTCTACCTGCAGGCCACTCGGCATGGCCCATCATGAATCTCGAAGTCATTGCAACGTAACTGTAAGTCGCTCCCAGCTCAATGGTCCCTCACCTCGGCACCTGCTGGAAACATCCAGTCTCCGGACTTCCCGTTTATGTTGGGGAGCCATGCTGAAAGGGCACAGCTGGCAGCCTGGCTGGTGCTTTTAAATGAGTGCAAAGCCAAGGCGCTGCACGCATACCACCTCATCGATTGCGCGTATGTGTGCTATGACACCCCTAGTAATTCCTCATGATAGTTGTTCGGCGGGTGCTTGCGAAACTTGGCCTTGAGGATAAGACAATGGTGGATCTTTAGATCCAGGATATCATTCAGTCTCCATGATGGCAGCAAGACTGCTGCACACAATTACTGGTGTGTGCATTGCCGGGACTGCTTGCAAAACTGTCGCTGAGAGCAGATTACGATCTGAAAGCTACATTGCCCCATGAACGAAACATAGTGGCCCACCAAAGGATATGGTGATTTGGGGCACCGAACGGTTGTTTTTGCTTTGAATTAAAGTTTGTTTTGAGTGTTCTGCTCGCACACTCACCGATATGACGTAGTGAGGCCAGATGCCCAGAGAGCCCAAAACCCCTTAATTAAGGAATATAGCTTAAATCACAATATGAAGCCTTGTATAATTTAAGCCATATTCCTCAATTAAGGCTTGCGCGCCAAAGAAAACACCGCTCGAAATGTTGACGACGAGGAAGACAACGATGATTATGAAAATTACGATGGTCACGATGATATCGATGGCGATGGCGATGATGATAACAATGAACATGAAGATGATGATAACAATCGTGGTAGCAATGATGATGACCTGGCGATCAGGCAAAGGTGACCTTGCAAAGACCTTTTGCCCCAGACCTTTTCCACCCACAAACCTCGACAAACTTGCCGCGACCTTCAAAGTCATCGGCCCCACCAGTGTTTTCGCCTTCTGGGTCCAGAGAATGAATTCAGGCCGGCTTTGCCCAGCACACAATAAGCCCACTGCTCAACACATTGATGACGATGATGATAACGACGATGATGAGACTGATGAACATGATTGTGATATCGATGGTGACTGTGAGGATGATAAGGATGTTGACCTCGATGATGATAGCACTGATGGTCGCCTTGGACGCCCAGAAAACTGGACACGAAATCGTGTCCCGTTTTTGCTTCTGCCACGCGACCGCTGGGGAAGGTCAAAACATGCGATTTTGCTGAGCTTGCCGCACTTTTGTACACTTCCCTCGGCCGCTCCTCTGTAGGTTTTGTCTTCAGGGTGTTTTTTTGTTTGGCGCGCGCGCGCGCCTTAATTAAGAGGTATTGGGCTCTCTGGGTGGGGTATGGCAGATTTGGGTCTCGGTGAGTGAACACAGGGGTCCTGTAAGTATTGTTTCATTGTGTGTTGGGTCTCCTTCCTCTTGGGGAAGCTAGTTGCTACATATATATATAGTACAGAATCCTATAACACAGTCGGTCTGTGTCGGCAGGGCATATCGTCTGCGCAGGAAGAATGAGGGAGGTTGAGGGCGCATTCTGTGACCCCAACATTAAACCCAAACCCTCGCTTCTCTCAGTCCCGCCGCCATCGCAATACCAACTTGGCGAGGGCTATACACCCTACTGCCTAAACCCCTAATCCTAAACCCTAAGCAGCCTCAAACCCTAAACCTTGTCCTAGTTACTTTTCAACCTTGTCATGACAGCCTACAGAAAGCTTTATATAGAACAAATAGAGGGGGGTTAAGGGTTGAGGGTTCCGGTTTTACGACGTGCAAGGGGCGGGAGTTGCAGGTGCTGGTTTAAGTTTGAGGGTGTATGCGTCTTGGACATGGCGTTTTTGAGCCCGCATGTAACAGCTACCCTGTGCTGGAACCCTAAAACCTCAGCCCCCTAAACCCATCGGTGGTCCGTGGCATCAGTCTTGGGGCAGAGATCCTTCGAAGCTGTAGCAGAATGTTGCCACGTCCAGCGCTTTGCATATGTCCCGGGCCATTCCACTGAAATTCCACACATGGTGCCCGCATGCGCCCGAAACCCGGAGCCCCAAAAGCTTGACACTGCAATCACCTGTAGGAGGATGCCAGCACGCTCACTGCCCCTACCTCAGCCAAGCTTCAATGGTCCAATGGTCGTTTCGAGCGGTTCCTTCTGATTTCTTTGATTTTTTGTGGGTTTAGTGTTTTGGGCTTCGCCGTTGAGTGTGTGTCTTCTGGGTGCATGGTGGGTACTTCGGCTCGTAATCTCACATCCCAAATCCTCCTTTACTGCATCACCCACCCTGCATGCTGAACCTGAAACCCTAGCAGCAATACGGTCCATAAGTTCGTTCCTACTTGTGTATCGCAGCATTCAATCGTTACAAGGCCTTTATACACCTTTGAGGCCGTAATGAGCCCCTAAACCCGGAAAAATCTTTTCGGAGTGGAGGCCCTGGTGGGGGTGGAACCCTTCTTCATGCTTAGTAGCTGAGTTGGCTGCCTGCCGAAATCCAAAAGCTTAACCTGTGTGGTTGCAAGGAAACCAGAAGAACGAATAACATACTACAAGCACCCTGCTTTCATCTGCTGTGGCCCATGCGAATATTGCAATGTATTTGTTGTGCGTAAAAGTCGTTACATATTCGCATCAGCTTCCCCGAAGATGGGAAACCACCGCCACCAGCACCACCAGCACCAGCACATCCGCCAAGTACAAAGTACATCAAAGTACATTTACATATATATATATATATATATACATATATATATATATAACTATACAGGTACGGGACCCTTACTGTACTATTTCATGGGATCAACGCCATCTCAAGCGTCAACATACGGGCTTCTTTCCTCAGTTCACCAATTATAATGTTGGCTTCCTGTTTTATGACAGCTGCGTTTGTTTGCAATACAGCTGAAAAGTAAACCAATACATGTTTTAATGCTGCTGTCACGGCTGACGTGGACCCTGCATATATTCAAGACAACTATGCGTCATGAACGGCCATGTTGCACGTTGTGTCTTTTGTTTCCGCAGCACTACAAGCAGCCAACCTGAAATTCAATCTAAAGATGTAAACCCGGCACGTAAAAGAATAGAAGGCAACGGACCCATATTCGAAACCGTTTTTAGTTGGGGTTTCGGTTGTTGTGGCGGTTCACAATGTTGTCGTCGAGCTCTTCAGGTGGCAGATGTCACGTCCATGCGGTTGAACCGCCATGATCTTTACACATCGTGTTCCAGCATGCTACGAAATTGTGACGTTGATCTAGCGAATCTGGCGACAAGTATGCCTGCTGCAAGGTAGGTACACCTCATGACCACTCTGGCGGTAGACAGTCTGTCAGGCAGACAGAAGCGCAGAAGGATAGATAGCCACATGAAAAAACAGACGCATAGCATCCATTCGCGAAGCTGTGAGAACTCAAGGGGCGCTTCAAGAAGCTCGAAGCACGAGTCCTCGCGGACCTTGGAGGTAGGTTTGGGGGGCCAATTTTGAGTGTTGAGCGTTTAGGGATTGTCAACGGGGGTAGGACTGATAGTTGTTTCTTTGTACTATGGTGCCAAAGTGGGAGGATTTTTGGCCGAAAAGAGCTGTGGGTGAAACGTCCTACTTTCCAGCCGCAAGAACACCGTGGAATTCCAAATGTTGAAGCCCCCGAAGCCTAGCCAGCTCGACAGTCGATTCAAACATTTCAAGAAGTAGGCTTGGCCTTCATTTATACAGCTTACTTTTACGTACCCCCAATCACTGCCAACCGAAACCCTAGCACGTAGTTGGTTGTGACCCCTGAGTTGCAACCGAAGCCGGTAAACATCAAACCATCTTGCAAGTAACTAGAGGCCCGGGTATGTGAAACCAGACAAAAGTCGAAAACCCACAGGCGTAGGGTATGTGCGGTGCACGCCCGTGGAGAGGCAGCAGCGAGTCGAGCGAGAGCCGTCCCAAGGCTTGGGATGAAGGGCGGGCTTCGGGCCGTAATACAGAAACTTCGGGGTTTGGGTGTTAAGTTTTGTCTGGCTCCTTACCACTTTGGTATACCGTGAAACTACCACAAACCCCATGTTTTGGGGATTTAGGGCATACTGCGCAAGGTCCAGGATTTTTGGACAATGCATCAAGGGTGTTGGGGTTCGGGGTTTTGGTCGTAGGGGCGACTGTTGAGAAGAGCCCGCAGGCAGTACACTGAAACTCCCGGGGCAATTCGTTTCGTTCTTCGCCTCCTCCTACTAGTTTTCGAGGTCTCTTCATGCGGACTCGGCGTAGCTATCTGAACCCTATAAGCCGTAAGCATTCAAAGCTTGAGCTCCAGATCTCCCACTTTACAGATTTTGCTTGCAGATCCGGCAAGCCAATTGTCACTGTCCCGTTGCACCTCAGCTCATGGAGCCTGTGTTCGTGATCCGCACTTGCTTCAGACTCCAGTCGAAAACTCTGATTCAACCCCTTAAAGCCTGAACTAAAGTTTCCAGGAAGGTAGACCTTTGCTGCGGCCCAAACTTGCCGGAAGGTGGGCGAGAGTCAGCTCCTCAGAAAGATGACCAACAGGACCTCTTAGGGTTCAGAGTGTCGTCGTTTTTTCAGGTTTCAGGGTCGAGGCCCTGATAAGGGCATTCGGTTCAAGGAGCTTTGTGTAGACCACCTGGAGTCTCCATTGTAGTTCCTTTTTGGGGTAACCTTATAGGATCCTTATTACATATTTGGTTCTACCAAAAAAAGGAGCTACAATGGAGACTATAGGCAGTTTCAACTGTGTATTGAAACGCACAACGTCGGTTTCTGGCTGCTTGCGTTTGTAATACGGGGTTCATAGCGGCGAAGAGGATGTCAATGCCATATCCAGGGGTGTAAACTACTTAGGTCGTTGTTCGATCCATTGTAAACTGACCGTAAACTAAAGCGAGCTTACGTCGAACT